TTCTCTGCTGCTTTACCAACACAAATAAAACTATGGTAGTCTATGGTAGTATGTGTTTGAGCAACACTGGTGTAGAGTGACGATTGACTTCCTCGTAGGACAAGCCCATGTTAAAATGGTTCGTCACCTGGGTAGTCAGGTGGCTAGGGGCCACCACAAGTGGTAGGTTAAGTGGTCAGTTCGGGACTGTCCCGTCGAACTGCTGGGGCAGGTAGCTAGCTGATACATACATATGTATGTATGTGTGTATGTACATACATTTGGATAAAATGTTGAAAAAATGTAAGTAAATCAGATATCACATAATTTTAAAATCTTTTGAACGCCGATAATTAACAAAAAACAAATTCCATAAAATGAAGTGTCTTATATTGTTTATTTTCAGATGGTGTACCTGATGGACAATAACCGTCGGATGAATTCCTTGAGGACAACATGAGATGCGACCTATAAAATCAGCGAATTTAAAGCCGAAAGTTTATAATTAATAAGTAATATGTAAGTAGTTTAAGAAATATTTAGGCCCATTATTATAAATTGCCAATAACTAAAGTTAGGAAGTTATCGTACAGATAATGTGTTTTTCGTTATTACAAGTCAACTTTAGCTAAAAGTGTCCGATAAGCTAACGGGAAGATCACCTTACCTTTAACTTTTAACGTAAGCTTTAGGAATGTTTTTTTAAAATATGAATGAAAAATAAATTCAATGTCATTTTTCGTATGAAAAATATTATTAACGGCTAAAAGTATAATAAAAAATTATATTGTAATAATGAAAATATTTAAAGTTCACTTTATTCCTCACTTTAATTAAAGTTACCTTTTATTATTACGAACATTAAAGGCAAGTTGTAATAATGGCCCTTAGATTTTTTATTTTATACTTTAACGTTTTCAATTTTGTGTATTTTTATTATTATAATATCATGAATATATTTAGAGAGTGCGTAAAAATCATTTTAAAACAATAAATTATACATACATATGTACATATGCATTAATGTAAAAATATTTGTATATTTTTATATGGAAAAATATATGGGGAAAGGGGAAATATATGAATATATATGAATATGTATGAACATATATGGTCATATATGTTCATATATCGCCAAATTTCGGATCCGAACATATATGGAGCTTCATATATGAACATATATGATCATTTTTAGCTGGGATGGCAAATTTTTTAAATACTAATATAATACGATGGAGCAAAAAAACTTAGAAACTCCATATATCATAGGAAAGTAGACTTATATACCTTTTATTTAAGATACAAATCATCAAATTCTAACGGGTAGTTTTTTAGTTTTAGTTTTTTAGTTTTCACCACAAAATAAAGTCGTTTCTATTATTTTTTCCACCACTGTATATTGAAATTTGTCCATTACTTTTTAAGCAATTTATTGATGAAAAACTGATTTTCTGAAAGATCCTATATATGGGAGCTAGAATCTATTATAGACCGATCCTATCAAAATTTGGTGGAGGGATTTATGTTCATATAGGAGTTAGATATGCAGAATCTCATCATAATGGTAGTGTTTAAGACGGAAATAACGACAAGCCAACATTAAGAGCTCCGATTTAATCCATTTTCAAACAACTTCGTCCTTTGGTAAAATTAAATATTTGAGACTATTTTCATCAAATTATCTGGAAAATTGCGACTTGTAGTTTGATTACAAGATTTACATGGGCGGACAGTCGGACGGACATAGCTAAACCACTATATTGCTGCAGGATATACATAGTTAACTCTCTTCTATTTTAAAAGGAAGTAGGATCTGAAATGGTTTGTAATTGAAAAAATAAAAAGGATTTCTGTTTTATATAGTTCATTTGAAAAAAAATCCTTTCCACTGTTTTTCCTGGCAAATTAATTGTTTGTTGTGAGAACGGTTGATAAATAGTTGAACATTTTTAAATATCTATAAAATAATAGTTCATATAATTCAATGTAATTTATTCCAGTATAGCCACAATTTTAGATTTTGGAGAAGGATCCGAGATATCAGAAGTCGCGCATAGAATATGACGTGTAATAAAAAAAATATCTAAGAGTGAAATATAGCTACAGTCAAGCCATAAATATTGATATATGACATGTTACGATCGGAAAAATTTGTAAAAAGCACCACTACACACGCATAAGTGACGTTTTTTCAAAGATATTGCACTGAAAAAAAGGTTTGGCTATTTTCAATTTCAAAGATTAAATTTCATTACAGTAAAATGGAAACTTTTACAAATAAAATGCAATCAATGAACATAATAATGATAATTTCTTCACATAGTATAACATTTCGATTGAAAATGTACAAAAAAGTAATCAAGAAGTACGATCTTATTTACTTTTATTGTTACGCATTTCACAAAAATATTTGGAGTGTACGTTGTTTTTGCAAGTTGTGTGTTTGTTTTTAAAAATTGTCTTTGAATTTGTAAAACAAAGCGACATCAACCTACTTTGTTGAATGCTGCCAAGCAACTAAATGAAATGTTTTTATTATTTACGCTCTTGTTCAGTGTTGCCATAACGGCATTTAAAGTGCAATTCTAGCACTTTTTTTTCGTCGGCTGCACTTATTTCTTAGAAAAAAGTACTAGATGCTTTTTAGCACTTTTTCGTCTTTTGCTAGAAATTTTTAGCATTAAAAGTGCATTTTTAATTAAAGAACTTTAAAGTTTAATTTATCTAGAGAACTGCAAAAATTTAGTTTTGAGATGTGAAATTTTAAGAAATTCTCACGAAAACTTTTTGCATATGTTTATTGTACTTTATAATTTACACTATAAATTATTTTAAATATTATTATGCAATAATTGTAACAAATATTTGAAAAAATAAGCTAAAAGAGCGTTGTTTTGTTAAGAATTTGGTGTTACTACAATGTAGTGACTACATGCTAAAACATTTTTTTGAAAAAAAATCATTAAAATTAAAAATATACAATAAAATAAAAATGAACATATAAAAACAGGTAAAAGTTCGTGAATGCCGAATCTTACATACGCACCAACACAATACGTTTTACCAAGATTTGCTCATTAATTAGATATATGCTTAAATTTTATATCGTGTATCGGTTTTATTTTCGGAATACGATTTTAATGGTTTGGATCAGCTCTAAGAAGGATGTTTTAAAACAAATCATTTTTTCGAATGTATCATAATGCTAAAATGTTTTAATAATTAATTGAGAATAAATTTATTTTCTGAAAGAGATTTATATAGAGGTAAACTATGGACTTATGAAGAATTTCATTGCTATACATGATTTTAAGTTAAGTTATTTATGGACGCTTGGATATAATATAGACCGATTCTTATGGAATTTGATAGATACATTTAAGATCCTATAAAACTTTTCAGCACGAATATTTTGTTTAAGTTGCTCAATAGTTTCAGGTTTGTTTGCATAAACCTTTCTTTTTAGATATCTCCACAGAAAGAAGACCTCCAGACACCTTTTCTTCGAAATCATTAACCACACGATAAATAGTGCGTTTGGTTGGTATGTTGTTTCTTCCAAAATTTCATCGTCACAGTAATCGATGATTGTTTTGATGAAATATTTTAAGGATTAAAACACGTTGGTTTATCGAATATTTCTCCATAATAAATTTGCCACGTGTCTTCTTTCGACTACCAAATATGAACCGTCAAGACTAATGTTTACCAAAATGGCGGCAAAACAACGTAGTATACCTTCCTGGCAGACACCCTGTACTTATTTTGAGGGGCATTAAAAAATTTTCGAACAGGTTTTGTACCTTACCCTTTCCGATTTTTGATAAAACTTGGTACACACATTCTTTGTATCAATACGAAGTTTAAAGTTCTCCAAAATTTACAAATTCATTACGGTTTAGATTTTATCAAGGTTCAAAGTTAAAATTTTTTAAGATTTTTTTCAACAAGCATTAAATTTGACATCGAATATTTTCTAAAATATTTATCATTTTAGTTCCTAATTAAAACTTATGTCTTGCAGTTTGAACATATTTTATTTAAAATATTTCTGTTTTAACGTAAGGATGATGATATCAAACAACGTCCTTTAGTCAAGGATATCTCAAAAAAGGTACCTTACATTTTCTTTATTCCTTCACATAAGTTTGCTTATAGTGTTTTCACTATTAGTAGTCTTTTGCATTTTTCACATAAAACATCTCGTTTAATTATGAGAAAAATTGCGACCTGTACATTATACCTGGACAGCCAGCCGCACAGACGGGTAAACATGACTTAATGGACTTTTAAAAGCTTGATTTGAATCAGAGATGGGGGTAGTGCACTAATCATATATATATATATATATATATATATATATATATATATATATATATATATATATATATATATATATATATATTAGGGATGTTACGAATGCTAGTTTAGCGAATGCGAATGCGAAAGCGAATAGTAATTTTAAAATTTTGCGAATGCGAAAGCGAATGCGAAAGCGAATGCGAAAGCGAATGCGAATATATACCGAAATTATTACCTAAGAGAAATTTTTAATTCAAATTTTGCAAAAAAGTTATGTTTGTTTTTATTTGAATTTAATATTACAAACTAAATTTACACAAAAAATCGTTAATAAAATACAAAAAAAATTTAAAATATTTTAGTTAAAAACATAAGTTATTTTAATTGAAATTAATTAATTTCCACTTACTAGTAATACGACTAGATAATTCATGTTTCATTACTGATTTGCTGCTTATTCCAAGTATACTAAAGGCCTTATTCATAAAAAATATTTTATAAACAGTTTATAAATCAAAATTTTGTTTTATAAACCTTTTATAAAATAAAATGTTGTTTATGAATAAGGGTGTTAATATTTTATTTAGATTTAAAAAATTATATCAGCAACTAAACTGTTTAATGATAAATATACTATTATTTAAAACAAACCCTTTAATATTCAAAATTTAATTGAGCCAAATTATATTTTATAAATAAAAGTTTTGCTGCTTTGTCACTTTTAAGATTGAAGCGTCGAGTATCATATATTAATCCAGCTCCACTAAATAATTGTTCACTAGGAACACTTCCGGGGGGAGTGGATAGAAACTGACGTACTACCGGAACTAAAATTTTATATTTTAAACAGTTTTTTTTCCACCATAGTAGTGGGTCTTGGGAAATGTGAACTTTTCGTTCCTTATCATATTCTTTTAATATCTCGTTTATTTCAGAAACTGTTAATATTTCATCCACTTCGTATTCAATATCACTGCTGTCTTCATTTAAAAACATTTCTATATCAGCTTGTATTTGTGATGAAGCGTTATGGGGACCTGCGTCGTTGTCATTAGCTATTAAAGTAGTTTTCTCTGTTATTTTTGTTGAAGAATTGCACACTTCAACATCGGAATAATTTTGATGTATTAATTTTACAAGTTCAGAGCGAATCTTATTTTTATCATCCTCGCCAAAAAACTTTAGTTTGTATCTTGGATCCAAATATGTTGATATTGAAAATATTGGTGTTTGTCTTAAATCAGAAAATCTGAAATTCAGCTCATACATAAGCGTTTCAATTATTTTGGCTACATAAGGTGGACCGCTTTCCAATGATTTTTCTTTATTTAATTTAGATGTGAGAATGTGTATTAATGGTATAACCGACGAAATCGAAATAGTTGAACTGCTAAGTTCTCGAGTAACCTCCTCAAAAGGTTTTAAGATGTTTACACATTTTTCCATTATTTTCCAATCATCGAGAGTTATGGAAAGTTGCTCGTAGTTGTTAAGATACAATATTATTGAGTCTTTAATTTTCAATAATCTTTCCATCATATAATATGTACTATTCCATCTACAAAAACATAAATTTGATTTATTTTATGGGGACTCCTTAACGACTCTAAACGGCTCCAATTTTTAACACAAAAAAACTTTTAAATCGAAGCCGTTTATTGTCGGTAACTTATGACACATTTACCTGGTTGGACAATCCTGTATTACACCAAGAGGTTTTTGGTTCAGCTTGTTTTTTTGTATATTACTCAGCTTTTCCTTTGCCAAAAGTGAGTGATTGAAATGTGAGACTAGTTTCCTGTTAGTCGCAATAAGCCCTTGAATTTCTTTTAAGTTTAAAGCATTTTTAATACAAAGTTGAAGCTGATGTACGGAACAGTTTATGTGCAAAAAGTTAGTAAGATTCATTGCTCTAATCATATTAGACCCTTTATCATGGACAACGCAGTGTACTTTATCAGAAATTTGCCATTCATTTATTATTGAAAGTATAGTTGATTTTATAACAACGCCAGTATGACTGCCTTCGATGCTTTCACACCTGAGTACAATATTTACTCTTTGGAACTCCAATGATATACCATGTGCTGTCAAACTTAAAAGAGAAACCCCAGCACTGGGTTCCGACCAAATGTCAGTGGTAAAAGAAAGTTTGTTAAATGATTTCTGCATACATTGTTTCACAAACGTATTCCGTAAAGTATTGCCGTCCCCTCAAAACATAGCGGGGTAATACTGACTCCATTAAACGCCTGAAACCGATTCCTTCTACAAAATTAAACGGAAGATCTTGCAAAGCAACCATCTCTCCAATTAATTTATCTATTTCCTTTGATCTCGGGTTGCACACGTCCCACATAACTTTACCCCTTAAAGATTCATTTATTGTTAATTGTCTTTTTGCGGCTTGCAGAGAAGTTGTTGGCATTGATGTTAAGGCTCTTTTTTCACATTTGGTTTCTTCCATTTTTTTGTACTCCTCATTGTGTTTGTGTTTTAAATGAATAATCAAGCCACTTGTGCACCGACCCTTACGGGATAATATTTTTTCACAAATTGTACATTTGGCTTTTTCTTTTCCTAAAATTGTAAAATATTTCCAAACACTGCTTGATTTTGGCTTCATTTTAAATACTTTTCACGCTTTTCAATAAACAGCAAACATTAACCGTAAAAAAAACGTATTTGATGTTTACTTGTTTTTGACGTTTCTTTTAATTTATTTTCGCAAAAAAAATGTTGCCAGATTTTTTTTTATTTTTTTTTTAATGAATCGTTAAATTATTCGCTTAATTTTAGCGAATGCGAAAGCAAATGCGAATGTAAAAAATGAAGCGAATTATTCGCATTCGCATATGCGAATGCGAGCATTCGTTACATCCCTAATATATATATATATATATTATATATATATATATATATATATATATATATATATATATATATATATATATATATATATATATATATATATATAAAACAGACTGTTTGTTTGTGTGTTTGTTTTTTACGCTTTCACGACAAAACTACTGAACCGATTTACATGAAATTTGGACCGCTAATAGGTCTAACCCCAAGAGGAACAATAGGCTATATAAGATCCTGATCGGATGTCACGCTCCTTTTTGTAAAACTATTATTACACCAATTTCGCAATCACAATATGCAAAACTTCCTAACCCAATTAACTTGAAATTTTGTATACCTATAGGTATAAGCTTGGAAAGAACTATAGGCTATATAAGAACTTGATTCGATGCCACGCCCTTTCTACGCCCAATTTTTATAAAACTGTCCTTACCTATATCTTATCCTATAAGAGAAAGTCTGTTTGTTACGCTTTCACGGACAAACTGCGATTTTCATGAAATTTAGAGCACTAATAGTTCTATTCTAAAGTGCAACAATAGGCTATATAAAATCATGATTTGACGAACCGATTTACATGAAATTTGGTATACCGGTCTCAGGATCTGGATCGGACGCCACGCCCCTTTTTACACCAACTTTTTGTAAAACAATTATTAAACCAAATTTATGTTCAGGCATACATACAAAAAACTACTGATCCGATTTTCATGAAATCTGTTATAATGAATGTTGTGGAATGAACAATACGACACATTACATCTTCAAAACCTATAATATATAATAGTAAATATATATGAGACTTTTTTTTACTCTTTCACTACATAACTAATAAACTTATTTACATAAAATTTGGTATTTAATAGGTCTAACCTCAGAAGTTAAAAAAACTCTATATGGTATTGATTGGATGCTACGCACATTTTTATGTTCACTTTTTGAACACCAAATTTCCAGGCTAAATATAAAAAATTCTTAATGAAATGCAATAACCTTTTTCCGTCCATTTTTTGTTACATTTATAATGCTCATGATATATACATCTTATAGTATATGAGAATTATCATTTAGGTAGTTAAAATTTTAATCAAAAATTTATTTTTATTTGAAAACTCTAAAATGTTTGTAGGTCCTTAACTTACTTTACGATTAGGTAAAATAAAAATCTGTAATCAATTTAATTTATTCGTATACCCATCACTTATATTTTCCACGCGAAAACTATTCTTATTTCAAAACCTGTAATCCGCTGCATATACTCAAAATAAACTATTTTAAAACAGAATCGGAAATTTTTATCAAAGTTATATTGTTGTAGATCTGTATATATTACTCCCATCACTTATATTTTCCACCGGTAAACTATTTATATTTCAAAACCTTTAATTTGCTGTATATCCTCAGAAAATAAAAATTTTAAAAGAGAATCGGATGTAGTTTCCTACGATCGAGAAAACTATAAACTATATTATATCTTAAATGAATGTCTACGATGCCACTTTTGTATGCAGTACTGAACAAAAAAACTATAACTATATTAGATCTTGAATGAATGTCTACGATGTCACTTTTGTATACAGTACTGAACAAAAACCGCTCCTAAAATAGGGTAAATAATATATTCATATTACATTTTTCACAAAAATTCGAATTTCAAATTTAAATCTACAAATCCATCTAGAAAATCATTTATATCTCCCCTTAAAATTTATATAACTCTTCAAAAATTTACTTTAAATAACTCTCAATTCGAGAAAAAATAAACATCCGTCTTCACATATATTTTTCATACAAAAATATAAAATTTAAATTTATTGTTAAATCGAGATAACAATAAAAATCTGCAATAGGTTAAAAAAAAAAACCATAAAAAATTATCTTGATATAAATTCGGTTGCCATGCAGCTCAAATCTAGAAAACTATGATATGTATTTGACTGTTCATTAAAGTGTCCTGAAAGACAGCACTTTTGCAAATCTTATATAGGTATACCTCTGAAACGATGCATATAAAGCATTGTTCATATAAAATATAGTTGAATTCATCTTTCAATATCTTCTTATACTTTTAGAAAATTATCCACCAAAAATTCTGCACGTATGTAGCACCGTATTTATTCCGAGCTGTTCAAATTAAATAATGATTTTGAATAATTTCAGCACACATTTTCCAAATTCCGAAATTTTTTAATTAGTGGAAGATGTGGATATTTTAATAAGTAAAATTATTTGGTTAACTTTTTTCTATATCTAACGATATTTGATCTTTAAACCTTTATTTCTTCGGATTTAATAAGTGGCGTCTAAATCCATCCAAAACTTTAGTGTGGATGCATAAAAGCCAATGAATAAAAATAATATTTTTAAACATACTTTTTTATAAATGGATGTATTTTTGAGAAACAAAGACGAAAAAACTGTGGTTTTACTCTTTAATGAACAGCACAAAATTGTTTGTCAAATTAAAAGTAGTTTTGTTTTCTCTGTCAATATTCAATGATTCTTCATATTTTCCTAGGGCAGAAAAAAAACGTAATTTTGTTCTTTTTAAAGAAATTTGAAATCAATGAGCCCATATTTTTCATTATTTTATGCAGAATTTCTCATAATCGTTTCAGAGTTTTCAATTGCATGTACTTTTTCAAACAGCAAAAAACGCTTGAAATTTTATACGGTTAATGGTACGTATTTTTGAAATAATTAAAATGCCCCGAAGACTTTTGCCTTTTTACACCAGGGGCACTTCAATTCAAAGTACGGTGTGACGTAATTTAAACTGAACAGTTCTTTAAATCTACTGCACATGGAAAAAATAAAACAAATCATTTGAAAGTGTCCTTAGTTCCCTACCAGTGATTGAAAATGCTGATTTCAGTATAATTTCTCAAAAAAAGTTTTTTAAATTTTTCTACAAATTTCCTAATTTAAGCTCATTTTCAATTTCTAAAATTTTAAGGAATTTTTGGTCCAGAAACTGACTTTTAGGATTAAAAAAAGCCAGAAAAATAAAATAACTATTTTATCGTTATAAGATAAATTTTGGTATAAATTTCAAAAAAAGTCATTACAGATAGAAAAATATTCTCTTTACTTTTTGAAGAAACCCGGGCAACACCGGGTACACGCAGCTAGTTTTTAACTATGTATAACTAATAATTAGTACTAGTTCAAAATTATTCACTACTTTTATTTAAGTCTATACCTATAGAATCTATAGGTTCAATTATATCGAAAATTGAAAAAAGTACCAATTGAACAACCAAACCAACCAAAATAGTCTCTCATACAGATTTTTTTCAATCTACGTTCTTGATTTTTAGTTTCTAGGCTCAAAATTATCAGTTAAGCACCGATAAAAAGTAATAAAAGGAAAGTAGACTTATATACCTCTCTTCTATTTTAAAAGGAAGTAGGATCTGAAATGGTTTGTAATTGAAAAAATAAAAAGGATTTCTGTTTTATATAGTTCATTTGAAAAATCAATCAATGAACATAATAATGATAATTTCTTCACATAGTATAACATTTCGATTGAAAATGTACAAAAAAGTAATCAAGAAGTACGATCTTATTTACTTTTATTGTTACGCATTTCACAAAAATATTTGAAGTGTACGTTGTTTTTGCAAGTTGTGTGTTTGTTTTTAAAAATTGTCTTTGAATTTGTAAAACAAAGCGACATCAACCTACTTTGTTGAATGCTGCCAAGCAACTAAATGAAATGTTTTTATTATTTACGCTCTTGTTCAGTGTTGCCATAACGGCATTTAAAGTGCAATTCTAGCACTTTTTTTTCGTCGGCTGCACTTATTTCTTAGAAAAAAGTACTAGATGCTTTTTAGCACTTTTTCGTCTTTTGCTAGAAATTTTTAGCATTAAAAGTGCATTTTTAATTAAAGAACTTTAAAGTTTAATTTATCTAGAGAACTGCAAAAATTTAGTTTTGAGATGTGAAATTTTAAGAAATTCTCACGAAAACTTTTTGCATATGTTTATTGTACTTTATAATTTACACTATAAATTATTTTAAATATTATTATGCAATAATTGTAACAAATATTTGAAAAAATAAGCT